GACAGCGGCCTATGAGACGATGACTGGCTGATTGATGCTTCGGCGAAAATTGAGGAAGTTGGGATTGAGCAAACAACCATGAATTGATTGTTTAATCTTCAACTACGTTGACATACCATACGTTAACAACGGCTTACCAGTTGCATTTTCACACTTCTTGACCGCACCGTCATTGTCACACACTTCGAATCACACCTTGATTTCACATTTAGCTTATCACAAAACCTGCTCACTGATTCACGGTTTATCTTTCTATTAACTTCCTGCAAACGTGTAAAACACAACCGTGTTTGTCTTGCAGCTTGTAACTTATCTGTTGAGGATGTACCACGAAATCTGTTACACTCACTAAGTCTATATGCATTATTAGACACCATTGAGCCTTCTCCATATCCATTTCTCTGAGCCTTTTTCGTCATCAATGATTGCGTTTTGCCCTCAGACTGCTCTATTCTAGAGGTGGGATGCAATAGACTGGCGAACTTGCTCATAGATAGATTGACACTATCGTTTACCAATTTTAGAATATCATCGAACTTTGGATCAATACCTTCATCCTCTCTACGGGAGCTTATCTTCACCCACTTCCTTTGCAGTCGAGTAGGTAGGCGTCTTGCTATTACCTCTATAATAATCAAGAATTTTCGAATGATATCAAATGATGTCCTCTCTCCCTATGCTTTGAGTAAAACTCTCTTCAAAGTGTCGACAAATTGTTCCGCTTGGCCGTTTGACTGGGGATGATACGGTGGTAGCATTTTGACGACAGAACTTCTGAAACTGATGAGCGGTAAACTACGAACCATTGTCTGTAACTATGGATTCTGGGAGACTATGATGGCAGAATATGTCGCTGAAAGCTTTGAAAGTCTGGGACGTTGTCGGCGTAACCATTGTTGTTTGATGTTCCTATTTTCCCTGGACGGCGAAACAGTAACATCAACCATGTCATGTTTAACATCAGACACATCGTTACAATTAACAGACAAGTCACCATGACTTACTTTCCTGTTTGCATCCAAGACGCTCTGTCCCCTCTTTGACCCAGGCATTGTTGCACTTGACCCAATTCCAAAATGTTCCAGATATTGCTTGTTCAAAGAAGACTTGGCCGGCACCAGGAAAGATGAACGGTGACTATCCAAACTGTCACCAACTGTCCCAAACCGTTCAAAAACTGACACCGTACCGTTAGAAACTGTCAGCCACGGCTCGTAAACCGTTAATCCCCAGCTCTTGCTACGCTGGGACTCACGCTGTTCCTCGAAGCTTCTCAGAAACGCTTAGTACGAATGGACGCAAAAACCAAAACACCGATTGCCCACTTTAGAATTCTTTATGGTTACACCAACATATAAAAATTATATTTGAACTAAGGTCTGTGAACAAATATTAGAATAATAAATCACAAGATTACTTCTGACGGTTTACTGCTGACTTCTTTCTGAACAGCGACGCGTGAGACGATGACTTTCGTATTGATGCCTCCGCGAAAATTGGGGAAGTTGGTTTTGAGTAAACAACCATGAATTGATCGTTCAATCTTCAACTACATTGACAGAAATACTGTTTGTATAATCACAGCTCAAGATATGCATTGGGACCCCAGATATGGTAGTCACTGATAGCCACCTTAGCGCCTGATCAATGTCAAAGAATTTTAAAACAAGCACTGTATCTGTGTAAAAAACAGTGAAACAAAGTTAGAATAGTAAAATGTTACATTTATGTTCGTCAAAGTTGCTTCCAAACGACGCATAGCACAACCACACAATACCGCACACGATAGCACCTACCAAGTACAAATTGAAAATCCAACTGACCGCCACTGTTGTAGTCAATGAAAGATGAGAAAACCTGAGGCGCGGAAAATTAAACACGTACTAACGTATATACTCACGTGAATATGTACAAACGGCATGTCAATCATGTAAATGCTTAATTTATGTGAAATATATTATATTCGGTTATTCAGCAAACTTTCTTTTACATTTGGCTGCCCCTGCACTAACTCCAGCCAGCTATGTACGTGTGTGCACTCAGCTGCACTGACCGCGAAATGTACTTCGTATTCCAAACGATTTTATTGTTGTTTTGGTTCGGCTCGCTAATTGACCTTTTCTCTACGTCAAATAGGTACGTTTAAGCTGAGAGCGAAGCACTTGTGTTATATCATCATAGTTTCGTCCATAATCATCTAAATCTGTGTATTTGGAGCATAGGTTGATTATGCATAAGAGGCAGATGTACAGAATTGTTTAACCCGGTGAAGTTGGGATTTTGTAATCCGTCGTCGTTTTATGATATCATTTTTTCACCAACTGGGACGCTTATTCCATCAAGAGAATATCGATGTGGTTGATCTGCCATTTGTGGTTACCCTACTGTACCGGGAATGTTATATTGTGGATACTTCAGTTGTTTTCCCCACACCCCGTTGGTATTTTTGACCAAATCCAAACACTATACAGAAAATTTATAACGCCTTTCAAAGCGATAATTTTGATCTCTGAAGCAAAGTTCTCGTACAAATTGTCCGGTTAACAATATAAAATCTCATGAAATTCGTTTCTGTTGCTGTTGATTGTCCATTCACTAGAATACCCTATAACAATTGCCTTTTCCTCTTGATTAACACACTTGTAATAAACCTGGTTCAAATAGAAAAGTAATATAGACCTATTTTGGCTGCCTGCCGGCTGTCTAAGATATTCGTCAAAGCACGACGTTTTGTATTCATAATTGGATTGTTTACGGGCAGAAAATCAGTGAAATTGAAGACTTACCATATTGTAGTGGTGTGTAAAATCTTTGGTGTTGAGTGTAGTGCGATGAGTCACATACTATTGGGATGCGTTAGTGGTTTTAAACTTACATCGAGACATGTAATAATTTTCACCATGTGAATATAATTAAAAAATAATTTCTGAACATTTATTCTATGCCAGCACAATTAACTGCCATCATATCAAATGAAGTTTTATCCACTCTGCCACAGCCCCCAATTTTCATACTTATATTGCAAAAGATTTTGGAGTTGCTTAAACTTTATAGATATGGTATATGCTGAAGCTGGTGTCCACACCAGAAGGTACTGGCCAAGAAGGTGAAAATATTAAGATGCATCATGCAACCGACCCACAACCTGCAGGAGGAAGAACACTAACAACAGGTCGGTATATGCTCACAGGCATCTGGGAAGGTATTTGCGTAAAGACAATCCACTGAAAATGACCATATAGAAGATATGGATAAAGACTGACCACACAACTATACGTAAATTACGTTAGAGCCAGTGCACGCTTTGTAAATATTACAGCTAAGACGTAGGTTTCAAGATAATTTATGATTTTTCCTAAGTGCGTACCCTGCTGCAGCCTGTATTACGGCTTCTCTCACCCTTTGCTGCGAAGAAAGTGGTTTCAGACTTTCAAAGGCGTATATTCTACTTCTGTTCAATATCCCCCACCACACTTAATTAAGCAGAACGTAGTAACGCCATCTTCGTAATGCAAACGTTGGACATAATGCCCATTTAGTTCGCATTGTGCGCATGTCGCTGTAGCTTTCTTCGATTCACATCTAAACTATGGCATGTTCTTTTTTCCCGCATGTTACCCTTAGATATTCTGACGGATAGCGGGAGGTGAACACGTCAGTTTAATGTGTGCTTCCCACTCAAAACCCCAGACAAACAACGTGTTTTGGAATGCCAGTGAACGTTTAAGATGTCGCCTTGTCAGCCCGAACCAACGAAATCACGATGCGCACTGCGGGGAATACAGGAACTGACCAGAAGGCCCAACAGTTTACTATTAAATGTACTGCAGACATAATTACAACAAGTCCCTGTGAATCGTCCATTTTTGTGAAAATTTCAGTTTTGCCTTATTGTTTCCGTCTGCATTCATAGTGTTAACATGTACGCCCAAACTGTTGTTCCCCTTCATTTCCGTTCGCATGCCTAAGAGTGGAGGCTTAGAACAGACCTTGTTTGATTGTTTCATTATGAAAAGAGCCTGGAAATAAGTTAGTGATTAAAGCGACCTGTACCTTATTTGTTGCGTCTTATCAGCCGAAGATAACTGGTTCACAGCATATCCACGATAACAGTGACAAATACGATCTATCGCTTACTCCGTAGTACTGCTTAAAAGCTCAACCTTAGGACAATTCAAAACTTATTCTAACCTACGCGTCAAAATTGCTTTTTACGGTCAATAAATATTGTATCTACCTGAAATGAACCTAGTATATACTGAAATAACTCTGGGACTAGTTGAAAGGAGGACTGGACGCTGAATCTAGGCTAATAGGATTGAAATCAAGCTGATCAGCAAACACAGTCGGTTCTGAGCCACTTCTGAAAATACCCAAGAGAAGAAAATGGTGTTGAATTAGCGCCAGTCAGTCTAAAACCATCTCAGAGTTTAGTTCGTGTGCATAATCAAACCATTTCAGAACAATTCAGGATTTACTCATTTAGCTCAGAATTTGCGAGATTTACTTATGCATTATTGTGTGCTTGGAGGGTTGACCACGAGGCAGTTAAATTTCATTTTTTGCTATTAACAGTATAGGCGGGTTAGGCCAATGATTGCAGGTGTACTATAATCGTTAACTATCAACATAATAACAGTGAACTTCAACATAAAAATAAGCTGGAAATAGCACCCAGAGACACGTTATAAATGCGCAGAGCGTCAAAAACCCTTTCATATCTCAATGGCAGACGAATTCACGGAAATATAACCAGTCGACTCAGGAACCCATCAAGACCTCTCTTCGAAGAGAATTGTCTACAGAGCTCGTGAGTAGCGAGTACTATTTGAGAACTACTGACAAGTCCGCAGGCTGTGTATTAAGTACCATGTATTCGTTTACAGAAAAATTATTCCTGACTACTTAGGTATCTGCAAATGACAAAGTTGTTCTGAAAGCTTTCACGTCACTATATTTCGTAATAGTTGTTTAGCTGGACTAATTCATTGTATGCCAAGGTTTTAGTCTTAGCGTTGCTAACATACAATTTAGAAACCGTGCCTGACTGTTACCAGTTTTCACTTAAGCTAAATTCAGCAATGTCATCATTTTTAGGACTTCTGTTTTGAAGTGGCAAGTACCTTCACTTAATTGGTGATTTATAATGAGTGATTGCTGAAAGACAGTTTGTTATTTTTATTTATCAAACTTGTATATTATGAAACAGTATATACTAAAAGTGTGAGCACGTGAACCATTCGATATTTAAATGCGGTCGTTATATTATTTTTTCTCAAGCTTGACGCACGATATGTGTTTACATTATACCGACACAGTAATCAAATAAATTTGTTTAAACATGGGAAAATACTGTCCATATTTTTCAATAATACGCCTAGATATATTGTATGTGCCTGTTAAGCTGTTTGCCCATTTACAATAATTTTCTGTTTTTTGTCAGACTCTCGTGGTTTCCGAGTAAACTAATTACACGGGCCCTAAAATCTTCTACACCTCACTCCAGAAACAATTTACGACATCTTAACGACAATCAAAGTATGACTAATATCAAGGTATGTCACACCACATATTTTTGTATTGCACTTAACCCCCGTGAATATCTCATTTTACTTGATTTTTGTGCCGTACTTCGAAGAGCATCTGAAGCTGTCATTTGATTAGCATGCTAACTATAGGATGATCTACTGAGAAGACTAGAGTTATGCACACCCAGGTACTGCATAATACGACAGACTTGTTAAAAATCTACACCATAAAGTAAAACCTAAATTACTCGAAATGACATTAGAGTACTGCGTTGAGAGATGTAAAAAGAAAGGACACTCATTGAGCAGTAACTACGACGCGGTTCGGTTTTTATTTTTAAGCCTATTATTTATGTGAACCGATGTCAGATGACGTAGTCGTCACTTCGCCAGTAGTTGGCTTCAAGAACGAAGTCTAAGCAAATTTACCCGAGGACGACTATGCGTTTACTGGTTACATTAACGACTTTCAACGTCAATCCTGAGGCATACATTTAGAGATACCAGTGTACGAACTAGAAAACTTTATCCCAGAATGCCTCTTGCAGGCAGAGATCTTACATAAGAGGTACGATTTTATGGACGTAAAATAAAATTGTCTTTGGATTTGTCGAAAATTTTGCCTTACAAAGTCTTCTGACTAATAATTTACTTTTTAATTGCTTCGTCTCCGATTTTCATAACCTTACGTCAGTGCAATAGTATAAAGCATGACAGTTTAAAGCAACATATAGCTACGTTATGGCTTATTTTGTTGATCCCCTAACAATAACAACGGACAACAATTACCGTGGGAAAAATAGCAGACTAAATAAGTGCTGACCGACATTGTGGCATTATTATCTGATAATCACATAGCGAATTTCACGGAAGCTCTGTATGAATAAGAAATCCCTTCATGTCAGAGTTATTCTGTGTTTCTCGAAAACAGCGTCTTATAGACATTAACTCTTTCTTCCACTTAATCTATTGTTTGTGTAGAAGATATTGTACAGAGATGAGTTGAACTGATGTCTCTTAGTCTTATTATTGAGATAGTGCACATGAAGTTAAACTTCCTTTAGGCAAAAGCTTTTATGCAGTATGGATGTTGAGATGTTGAGTCATGAAGAAAATAAAAGACAGATTCGGCGAAGAAAATTTTATTTATTGACAAAATCATCTTCAGAGGCTGTACAGTCGTATTTATACTTACAAAAATATATAGTGGTCTATTATTGAGTAATTGGGGTTGACATAATTGATACAATTACTCAGAAGTGGCTTTACAAGTGAAAATTAAAAGTTGTAAATTACGTGGTTCTCAACGGCACGAAGATAGAAGTCTGATAAGGTTAAAGTTTCACTTGAGTGAGAATAAAGGTATTTGAGTGTCAATTTAACAAGTGTGAAGAGGGTGTGAAAATATACAAAAGGAGCATATGAAACTGATAATAGTGAATTAATTATTAAAGCAAAAACAAACTAAGAGTAAAATTAAAAATTAAGAACAAAAGAAAATATCAAAACTTTTTTTTACAGGGAACGATTAGTGAAGAGGTTAAGACCAAGGTAGAATAAGAGACTAGACAAACTTTTTCTGTATACAGAGTTCAGGGTTGTATTGATGAATTGCCAGCGCCTCCGCCATACACAAAGGCCGAAACCTGACGCCCTTTGTACAATTTGGCTTCACTTTGTAGATGATGTTGAAAGACGACTCTGGTGGAGCTACATGGTCTGAGTTCACCAAATGCTCGAAAATTGAGCTAGTAATTGTCTTACATTGTCCCTTTGCTAACCATGCTGGATAATGCTCAGAGATGCGTTTGGAAAGCGCGCACTTTGTGCGGCCAATATAACTAGCTTCACACGAGCAGGTGAGTTTGTAAACACAAATTGAGGTGGCCCAAATCTGCAGTTTATCCTTCACACATCCGTTGATCATTTGTTGGCTATAAAAAGTGATACGTTGCTCAGCCATAAAGAAGGCTTTACTCAGTGATCTGCATAAGCGATTCTTCAGGATCTCAGCTGCGGTATCACCTTTAAATTCAACACTCATAAATAGCAGTTTCTTTGGCACCGTCTGGATTCGTTTAGGCTTTTCCCTTAACTTCATGTTTTTCTCGATAAATCTTGGAGGATATCCATTCTCTATGAGAACTTGTCTGAGTCGCTCCAGTTCCCCAAATTTTATTATAGCTTGACTCCATACAGTATTTTTGATGAAAGTATGGAATTTTCCGCATGTATTATCGGTAGCCCGAATTTAGCAGGCCGACCATGGATATCACTTGTGCGTCCTTCGGGGGTCGAACCCCAGACCATGTGCATGGTGGGTGAGAGTCCTAACTGCTGTGCCACCGATGACCAATATAGACGGAGGTATTCAGTTTGAGTCTCAATTATGTATGAAGTATTGTTGAGGACTGCCAGATCCGAAGACTCCAAAGTCTAGTCAGATCATTTTATAGATTCTAGGATTGTGAGACAAGAAGACCAAATCGGAATGAAACCTGGAACTGAGCTTTCAGACACTTAATACATGTGTATTTTATAATTTCTATCCTTATGTTTAGGTCGGTATTATTGGAGGTTCCGGATTCAATGATCCAAATTTATTCAAACAAGTGAAAGTGAAGAGTTACAACCCAGTTTGGGAATCCTTCAGACGTTCTAACAGAAGGTCTTATTGGAGATGTTCCATGTGTTATACTTCCCAGGTAACTGTTTTTCACTTCTCAAGAGTCCCTAATAATATGTTGCACTAAACCCATTTATTCACTGAAGATGCCCATAAAGGATTTAAAAGACTTATTAGTGGACAAATAATATTCTTTTCGATAAATTCTTCATCAATTTCCACATTTATATGGCAACAGCAATTAAAGAAATATTGTTATTAACAACGTCAATGTCTTAAATTGCGTGGAATCAACAGTATGGAAGGATTACATTTCGAAAGCATCAGCACGATATAATGCGCATCAACAAAATACTAATATTAGTAAAACGTTTGTGCATTATGGATTAGATTAAATAAAGTATAATTATATTTAGGCAAAATACTAAGTTGAATATCAGGTAGATTAAGGGAAGTGACGCAGAATTTATGAATTTACATAGGGCTGAACATATGGCCAGGGCAACAACAATGGTTTCATCTGTTTAACTTGTACTCAGAGCTTCGACTGACTTAAGGGAATTGCAGTGGCCTCTGATGTTTGCAGTGTTCGATATCTAGAAGCTTTCGGTGATTCATTTGATACCCAGTAGGTAGTAGAGCTTTGTGGCCTGTTTGGATGAGGTGATCCGGTATGGAACTCTTGAGGGTTTTAACCACACTGGTATGTGTGTCTGAGCACAAAAAATTAGGTTCTTAGAGAAACGGCTAATATAACTGGTTCCATAGAGCAGTTGAATTGGCAGATGCAATTAGTGGTGCCTAGCCTAGGTACTTCATCTTCCAGTTTCGGAATCGCAGTCGGTTGTGTGGAAAATTTAAGTTGCATCTCACCTGCACTAATCGTTCTTTGAGTCGATTTTCTCGACTTGTTGATTGTTATTTCACTTGGTAGTGGTTGTATACATAGAGGTGTCTTGATTATGTGTTTAGTGAAGAAGTTTTCAGGGTAATTGTTGTCAATTAACTGCCCGTTGTCATTTAAAACATTTATGTGGTTAGTAACAAATTTAAAAAATTATTTCTGTCATATAAATCACGAATTTATCGAAAATTATATTCCTTGTTCATTAATCAGTTTTATAAACACACAAGTTTGTTGATTTTTAGTGGTCAACTACTTAGTTCCTGCATCTTTTAACCGCCTAGATGAAATTTGTCAAACTACTGAATGTTTTGGCGATAATTCGCAAAGTCATATTTGGAACTACTGATCATAGGCACATATCTGAATTTACCCGGTATATAGGTCTTCTTAGTGTGATTACTGACTATGTACTACAGTTTTTACTCTTGTTCTTTCTCGGAAATCGAAACATAACAATCAGTAGTAAGCTGCATTCTTCTGTTCACAGCTTGTTGGAGAAATCTTGGTAAAAGCGCCAGCTGAAGGTCAAAGGAATTTCAAGACACATTTTCATGACAAAACACTTGGTGGAGCTACTTTGTTAGTAGCCTAAAAGGTGGTCATTGTTATTCACTGGCTAGAGAAATCTCCGCTGTGGTATGCCAATTCGTGTACTGGATTTTCACATAATGATTTGTCGATTTAGAACTTGTCTTGCTTACTTACTGTGGCGTAGAGTTGTGTCTGCAGCACTCACTTGACATATGTGCTGATCGTTGTCAAGTTCCCGAAAATGTAGTATTTGCTGGACGTAGTTCACGTCTGATTGGGACTGTTTTCTGATTATAAACAATACCGAACTTTACCTGTTTGATTTATGTGCAAATGTATTTTCAAGCTACTTTCAATATCTCTTTTTGTAGACATGGAAAGGAACACGTAGTATTGCCCAGTGAAGTTAATTATCGGGCAAATATATGGGCACTGAAAGAGGCTGGATGTACTCACATTTTAGCCACTTGTGCCTGTGGTAGTTTGCAGGAGCACGCACAACCAGGGGACTTTTTGGTTCTCGATCAGTTTTATGACAGAACTAATGGCCGAGAGGTTTCATTCTATGGTAGCAGACCGGGTGCATTAAAAGGAGTCCTACACATGCCTATGGCGGATCCGTTTTGTGAAGAAACACGCCAGGTGATCACTTCATTTGTTTTATGTTATTAGCCACAATAGACATACATCCAGTGAATTTTATTTGTTTGCAAAACAATGAAACATTTTGTCAAAGCTTTAGGGAAAACACCCAAAACTATGTTGAGTTTTATCTGTGGAAATCGAGACAACCTATACAACTCTGTCTGTAACGTCAGAAACCGATACATTATTATAATTCTATCAGCCCCGAGATTTCATTTCGTGGATTGTGTTATTTTCGTATGATTATTGACCAGTAACCCATTAAATGTTAAAATATGCAAAGCTTTTCGTCTCTCTCATGTATTCTAATAACACATTCCAGTAGATAAGAATTTACTAACGACACAATACCAAGACTTCTGCCTTCATGGAGTGCTGATTTTCACTGTGTGTTGGGAGGCAAAATCTTCAGTGTATTCTGAGCAATCTAGAAAGAGCAACATTAGACGCATATTTTAATATAGTCCTAATATTTTTGGAGAAAATCAGTCAAAGCAAAGTTATTCTCAATACCTCAATGTGCAGGATGCAGCGTTATTTTGAGAAACGCTTGCACTATACTAAGGTATTCTCATAATTAGGTAATTCCCATGGTAGCATTAAGAACACAATATTCAGCGCAGACTCTTTCCAACGAATTTATTATCAAGCTGTAGAATCGTACATATATGGTCTTCTAAAGATTTTATATCCGGTAGGGGAATTAGGTCAAAGGTGTGAATAAATGAAATAATATTAGTATGAAACGCAATTAAAATATTTGTGATTATAATCATAGTTAAATGTCAAGTGACAAAATAATTAATGTCATATAAAATAATACATAACGTGTATAGATTTTGGAATGGGGTTCATAATTATAAGATTAGTAGGCGAATGTTAAATGTTACATAACATGGTGTGAAATTCGATATGATAGAATTAAATATTGTGGAAATAAAAAGTAATTCTTAATTTTTGGTTTAGAATGACAAGTGGAAACAATTCAGAGTGGGAATAGTAACAATAATAATCGTAGTAATAAGGGAAAGGTACATAGAATAACTAAATCAACAAAATAAATAAATGTCTATCCCTCTATGGCCAAGGCAGAAGTAGAGATTGTACGTACTTCTTTTGTACGGTATTGTGCACTATGCTGTGAACAGACAATTTAAGTTTCAAATTTAAGTTTCACGTTGTGCAATGAGCTGATGATTTTGTGTATTTTCTCCTTTAGATTTTAATTCAAGCCGCCAAGAATCTATCCTTGGATATCTATGATCGAGATAGTGGGAAGACCGCCCCTAAGCATCCATGTGTACATACCAAAGGTTCCGTAATCACCATCAATGGCCCACGTTTTTCTACTCGTTTCGAATCGAAGTTATTCCGAAGTTGGGGTTTGGATTTAGTCGGTATGACATTAGTGCCTGAGGTTTCATTAGCTCGTGAAGCAGGTCTGAGTTATGCATCTTTAGCCATTGTAACGGACTATGATTGTTGGAAAGCAGATCAAGCTCATGTGAGTAAGACATTCAGCATTTTAATCACTCGCGGTTTATAAACTGTTCTGAATAATGAATATAACCTGTGATTCTAAAAATGGGAGGAATTGTTAAAGTTCTACATTTTTCTTAATCTTAAGAGATTTGTCCTCTTAATGAATACATAACTAAAGCTAATGAAATTATGGAAGCCGCGTTGCATGTTTAGCCTTTGTTTAGCGTTTCCTGGTTTCTAGTGATTATTTACGCTGATATCTATTGAAGATATACACCCTAATATAAGTATAAAACTTGGGCTCTGTGGTAGAGTATAACTCCATTATGGATATGATTTTATTCTGATAAATCACACAGTGTTGTACAGCAATGTTAATTGATGACGTTTCGAGCACAAACTATTGCTAATAATCATATCAAGTACAAACAACAACACAACAACACTGTGTGATTTATCAAAATAAAATCTTATCCATAACTGAGTGATACAACCTCATAGAGGTCTTGATTTTACGACGCTGATGAAGCTCGCTAGTTCTTCGTTGCATAAATGGAACTTCATTGCAAGGAACTATAGGGGAAGATGTAACTTCATGCAGGGAAGAAGATTTGACCGTTTGGCATCAATCCTAACCAACTTCAAGTACACAAGTACACTTTCTCCTCATAGTATGAAAGGGGAGTTTCATTTAAGTTAATCATGAGGTGGTGTGGTTAAGTTTAGCAGTAGAGTAGAAAAACTGTTCTACACTTATGAAATCCGCCTTATGAACATCATTTAGACACATACCAGTTCGCGAAGGAGAAGAGATTGAATGTTGACAAAATGTTGACAAAATTCTGAATCTCTATCACATCATCAAAGAACAACTTCATTGATAGCTTGCTTTTACTAGTAGTGATAAGGGGATGAACAGCACAGTATTGACTCTAAATTCAGGAATACCGAATAAAGACCCGAATGCCTTAAAATTTCCATTTATTTGTCAGGTTGAGTTGGATTAGACGAGCTGATCACCGGTGTGATTTTGACGCCTGCATAAATTGTTGTCTGAAATTTCTCATCTATATCTCCGACAAATTCGACTACCAGTAGAAAGAGTTGAGGTATCAGCGCTGGCTTGTGAGGTGAACACACACATCGACTAATTGCACTAGTCGCTTGACAATTTTTAGACTACTTGAAGTGTGAATTTTATCAGAGTATTAGAAATCCCTAATAGGAAGATTTTATCAACAGGGCTTAAAACTGAAATCAATACGAGTAATTTATTTTTGTCTCTTAGGAAAATGAACATTTTCATACCACTGGCTGTGTTCATTTCGTTTGTGTTTTGTGGATATGGCACCCTTAGTTAGATAATTCCACGGAGATTCGACTGAGTGAGTGTGACTGAATCTATATAATGTGTGTTTCTTAAAAAATTGCATACAGTAATTATCTTATTTATTTATACTGATCGACCTGGTGTTTTGTGTAAGTTTGAAGTATGTTGCATATCACCTTAGGATCTGTGTCTTATTCACGGTTCGGAAGGAATATTAGATAATCAGGATTTGTGGTTTTTCTACATATGTGGATTATATACACACTTTAACAAGCACAACAATACGTCGGAATAGGCCATACTCATGCGTTTAGCATCCGGCGTACGCCTACATTGTTAGTAGTTTTATCTTAAAAATATGTAATCATTGATAAACAACTTGGATCTGTAGAAAAAGTACAAGCGGCTTATTAATCAATATAATGTAAGATATACATTTTGAAAATAACATAACATCCATAAACACCTTTTGAATACAATCCGCACTTATACGTTTTTCTTCCTGTTTTTATCAGGTTTCTGTTGATATTGTTTTGCAAGAATTTCGCAAAAGTATAGATAAAGTTAAAAAGGTTGTACTCGAAGCGGTGAGATTGATTGGTGCTCGTGACTGGACTAAAACTATTGAGGCCAACCAGGTAATTTTAATGTTTCCCCGTTTAGCGAAAAAATGTATTTTTTAACTGAATAAAAATGCCTATTATATATTTTGAAAAGATCGTTTAATGAATAAAGAATAATCTTCGTTGATAACTTCATCATTAGGTTCTGCGTTTATATATACAAAATTGTGAAGAGATTAGTGTTATTAACAATATTAATGCTTAAATAACATCGAATCAACAATAATATCAATGGATTATAGTTAAATGGTATCATTACTTAGAAAGAACTTTGTCAAAATGGGATTCAATGGGGAGCCCATCGCCACCCCCTTCCACTTGCCTGTAAAGTGTGCTATCAAATCTGAAATGTATATTCATGGTATAGCTTGATAAAAATCCTTTCGGGATTTCTGTTGAGATTGCAATATTCATCGACTGGTTATACACTTGCTCACATATGTATTCAACCGTTTATACTGGAGATACATTTGTGAATAAAGATGTCCAAAGATATTACAGTTTTATCTTTCATATTAATATCTTTGATGTTGTCCACGAATTCAAATACATCATTGATGCTATGTGCCACTATCTGCTTATGCAAAGGTTTGAGATATTTACTAACCAGCTAGCTACACGATGGTAGGGAGACTTTTGCATGTCAACTATTGGTTTTAACGGTACCCCTGTTTTATTTCCTTTAGATAGTCTATACAATCTTGGCGTATACGTGCCCGTTGGCATGATTTCTTCATATAAAGTTTCGCGAAATATGTGTTCCTCCCTTAGTTTTTCCAAACGTCTGGTTGGCTCGTTCTCTATTTTGTTATCGAAATCTTCCCTCTTCTCATGTTTTTGAGCTATATGCCCAGAAAATGTAATTGAAGATGAACCAAGTATTGTATATGACACTCTAATTGAAAATAGCTATCCAGAAAAGGTCATCAAGAAACACATGACCAAGAAATCAGAAAATGACTGTTCTCTATCTATAGATAAGAAATCCTTACATATACGACTGTAATTCAAGGGTGAGGGACCTAGTAAAATAATTACTAACATGTTAAAAAAATATTTTTAAAGAACTTTTAGTGCTGACAGACTAAAAGTAACATTTTCTACATGGCCTATGGTGATTCCTCGATTGAAAAATGAAGCACTTAGACTAGCCACTTTTAATTGTACCTACCTATTGAACTGCGCTTGTGGATCAAGTTACATTAACTGTTGCTCTAGGAACTTGATTTTTCGTGCCCGGGAACATATACCGATGTCGTTAAGTAAAGGTATTGTAGAAACTATCAACAGCTCGATATTAGACTACCCAGTCCATACCAGCCGCATAGCCAGCATTTGAGAATCCATCTTAATCATCCACCAGGTCCCAAATAAATTGCGAAAACATCGAGGCACCGCATACTCCAAACAGCAGAGGCTTTCACGATTTGCCTTAAACAACCGGTACTCTGCGTGCAGAAAAAGCAAGTCTAGGCACTACCACTGTCCTGAGCGGCCTTCAGTGGAGATTATAAATTCATGAAATTGTATTATTATCTCTCCTAATTTTTCTGATATTCAGCATATTGTTCTTTTGATGCCATAGAACTGTAATCTATTGGTATTATCGTTGATTCGATGTTATTTAAAAAGCATTAATGTTGGTAATAACACTAATTCATTCACTATTACGTATATATAAGTGTAGAACCTGATGGTGAAGTTACCGAAGGAGAATATTCTTTATTCAGTAAACATTCTTTTGAAAAATATTTATTTGCCTATCACTTTTTAACCATGGTATGTTATATTAATTACTACAAATATATATACAATTCATATGAACTGTGAACAAGATTCGACAGAATAATAATAATAATTGAGCAAACTAGTCCCAACGTCTTCAGGGAAATTAATCGAAACTAAAGTAGCAAAAGTTTATATATAAGATGGTCATCTTTTGTTTTTATAAACTTTGTCCAGTCATGTTAGTCGTGAAACAATCATAGAGATATAATAAAGACAATTGCATGAATTGTGATCAAAATTTGACCTCAAACTTACAAATGTTATGAATTCAAAGTCAATCGAAACGAAGAAAATTGTTTTTCAATAATTTCTCCTCTTCAGGTTCTTACAATTATAAAATATAATATTTATTGTCGTTACAATAATGGCCAGTTATGCGACGGACACATTTTTTTGCACGCAGAATAACAGATTTGTTATGGGGTGTTAAAATAAATAGTCGTATTTGTATGACAAATGTCGTGCTAGGCTGAAATCGATTACAAAATATTGTAAAATGGGAGACAATGGTGGTGATCAGTAATAATAGATTCGTAGAAAGTATATATATATATATATATATATATATATATATATATATATATATATATATGTACATGCAGTAACAATCGTGTGTGTATGGGGAAACCATTGTAGATCATTTGTTAGCCTCTCCATACAAAGACATAGAGAATCGGGAATTTAGATCAAGTATGATAAATTAGTGATACAGATAGATCCATTTTTACTTACTCCTCAGGACTTTGCTTTTACAAGTTGATTGAATGATTGAACAGCTAACCAAAATGAATTATTGATTGAGTGACTGGCTGAAATGATGAGCAGCTTGGCACAGTCATTAGTCAATTGGAATTCCCACTCATTCAAATAGTACACATAAAATCATCAAAAATGAATCTAATGAAACCACAGTGGACTAAGACCAATTGAAGATTTGTGAAGACTTTCAAGATCTGAAATACATTTTGATTACCTCTGAATGTAATACAGAGTCAGAGCAGGTCTTCTCACATATGTCATTTTCTCCTCTCATTTTTTTCAACAGTTATTTATTTTAAAAAGACACTTGCAGCGAAAAAAAATTTTTTTCGACGAAGTCATCAACTAGGCTGTACATTCTTGTATTTATAATTATTGGGTGGGAAAGTTCCAGAATATTTTCCGGTCAAGGGTCAAATTAATAAAATTACAGTTAGGAATTAAAATGCCATAATAAACAGGGGAGTCGAATAGAACTCAAACATTTACATATTGTGCGATTAGGATTTAGAAATGCAGAAATAACAAAATAGACAGGATGTTTGTATAAAAAATATAGTGGGACCATAACTAATGTGACGAATAATTGTTTCTGCAGTTAGGGATTAACTAGGTAGAAATAGTAAAATGAAAAATTAGACAGGCAGTTCGGATATGAAAATATGGTAGTGTAAATAGGGATAAAAAAAACTTAAAAATAAGATGAATTATGTGAAAGTTTGGATAAAAAAGGTAATAGGATAGTCACTATTAAAAGAAGTTCCTGTTTATGGCGGCCATGGCAGGGACAAGGGTTGGACGTATTTCTTTTGGATACTTAGCTTGGGTTTGAGTTTTTGGATGGCTAGTGCCTCGGCTCTGCCCAGGTGTCTTGATTTTACCCCCTTTGGTAGGTTTGATCGAATCTTGTATATGATTTTGAAGGATTTTTCGAATGGCGCTGAATGTCCTGAATTGACCAGATGTTCTGTCACTGAACTATATACACGTTTTCGTTCTCCTTTTACCAGCCAGGCTGGGTAGTGTTCACGAGCACGTTTTTCAAGTTAGCGCATTTCATTTTCTGTCTGTACGTAATTAACTTCGTATGATAAATTAATCAGATAATTTATGTTTCATTATTTACAGTTGCTAGTTCAAAACTCTCGTCAAGATTTGGCTCACGCGAAAGGCGCAGGTAAATAAACAACGATATCGTATGAACAACTGACTGCTAGCATCATTCAGCTGATCTAGTACAGAAACTGATGATTTGACTTTTTTCACACCTCCTAACAAATAAAGTGTGTCCCTGATAAATTTGAAAAATTAATACACGTTCTCTTTGTTTTGAACGTTAATTTCTAACACAGATTGTTTTCAAGTATTGGTTTGCAGGGATTTGATTGATTGGTTACAGGACTTCATCATGAGGTGACATCAGTTGGAGAACTACTGAAAAACCTGAGAGTACTGAGTAGCTGTTTCATCTTAGTTTGGGACTCTTCAGCAACTCACAATGTAATCCCGTAACAGCTTGTTTTCGTTTAGTAAAATACTGTATATCTGAATAAAATCAATGAAAAGACGGGCCGCACTTCACTGTACTGTAGCCGGTCTGCATATTAAACATTGTAATGAAAGATTTGATAAATGCTAAGTTATCTCAAAAACAATCTTCAACTTCGTTTGTACGTCAATACAACTTTCGCAATGAGCAGATTTCCTTGTTTGAAATAGACCACCATGAAAATCGATAATAATCTGATCGTGCTGCATATCTGTTCAACAGAACTGACTTACGATTGATTCATAAAGTTTTCTAAGTATATGTAAGTAAAAAAAGACAGTTCATAGAAATTAGGTGTAACTCTGCTGGTATTTAGCTCTCCTTAATGATATGAAGAGTCAACTAGTCCGTAAGCTGTTGGCTTCCCATGTTCCCCTTGGAACCCAAGGGAATAATGACGATTTAACAGTATGTTTGGACTATGCTGAAGAAGCTATGGCTCACATAGGCGAACGTCCAGAAACATCTTGTTTTCTGATAGTTGAACCCTGTTTGACTGCTAATATATTTTAGAAGACAGTCAGAAATTCAACTACGTGGAGAACAAATGCTGCTGATCTTTCATGGATTGAGAGCATTTTGATGTTTTAATTTAGCCAATTATAACTCTTTCACTGGAAATGGATTCCAGAAAAGTGTGAGGAATGAATGTTCTAAATACACATGGTATCTGCACACTTACTTCAGAGATTATTAAATTTATTCTGTCATTAAAATGTTCAATTAATTTTCGCACTTACTTTTTAAATGACCAAATATCTCATTTATTTGTGAATAATGGAAAACGAAGGCTTTTCTGTAGTTTGATAATATGCAGAACGAGAATTATTATCCATTCTGTATACGGCGAACATCTGAAAAAAACTGCCCTGAAGATATAATTGGTAAGGAACTCGGAAATCTCTAAATAACAGTTAGATAAGGGTACCACGGAGTGTTCATTCAAGGGAACACTAAGGCACAAATCTCTCTGTCAGCTAAATGAGAGTACCGAAATACAATACTAATTACGCTAGTAAATCTGGAAAATAGCTGAGCTATAGCTCTACATGCAGTTACAGACAACCATAAAATAGGATCAGACAAGACGACATTTCTACAATTTAGTAAAGCAGCGTAGATGGAAAAATTGATAACGGAAGCTTCATTTGTCGAGTCAACTGAAACTACGTGTAATATGAATGCTTCAACGCCTCTTCTAGAAATTTGGAAGATTTTACTAGCCTTACGACAAGTTGGAGAGAAGAAAGAGAACTATAAAAGCCGACTGTTGGCTTTCAGGGATTTGATTAATTTTAAGATGAAGTTGTCTGAAGTTCCAGTGACAAGTCATGAGCAGCGAAGTCCGCCAAATATAAAAATCAAGTTTCGAAATTCAGGGTTTACAACTGATGTGATTATGAACAATATATTGTTCCAAACGTCATCCCGTGAGTGTTACTGTTTAACTATATGATATATCCAAGAAACAAATAATTAATATGTGTTCAAAACTCGCATTAAACGTTTCTCTTTACAGCGATCATAGTATTCTTCTTCCTGTCAAAATTCATCCAGCTTCACTTTGCCTTCTCTCTTATTATTGTTACTATCATTATAATCGCAAATGTTTGACAGCAGTTGACTCACTTGAAACTTATTATCATCAGTTAACTTTAGTAACCTTTCATAATTCATCTACTTCACGATTACTGCCTTGGAAACAACCGTGTTACTTTTATATGTACATTAGCTGAACAGTTTTAAGTACTTTGTTGTGCAAAATAAAAATGTCTAAGGAGCTTGAAAATGAAACATTTCTTTTCTGAAATTTTGTCTATAACCAGGGTCACATTTCTATAACCGCAAGACACAGCAGTTAGGACTCTCACCCGCCATGTATTTGGTCCCGGGGTTCGTTCCCCAACCGACGCACACCTCATATCAGTTGGGCTACCGATATCACATGCTTAAAAATTCAATACTTGTACCAAAAATAACGGTGAGGAATCAAGCTATAATAACAAAAAATATTGTTTTCCGATAAAAACTTTCCAAAACGACCAACAACAATGCTTCAGCATTTTTTCTGTGTAGTTCACTCAAGATGCCTATTTCACTTTATTATTATTCCCTTTGGTTGCAAGTGGAACATAGGGAGTCAACAGCACATTTACGATACAACCTGTTCTCTGCAATCCCCTCTAGTTTGCTCAACGATCGTCCATTAGCTCTCATTTCCTCATCAAACGACCTCCTCCATGTCACCCTCAGATGCCCAACCCATGGCTCCTTTCCCATTTGGGCTCCAATCTACGGCCCGCTTGGTGCGTGATGTCAGTCGACAGTCTCCTCGTCGAACGTCAAATCCATTTCCATTTAACTTCTGCAAATTGACTAGGCGACAGATTGATTCTTGGTTAGTGTTTTCGCAGATTTTCTTGTTGCTTATCCTTCCCTTCCGGTCACGTGATCTTCAGTATCGAGCCAGTGCACGCAGCTGTTGATGAAACTGTAAAGGGTGTTGGAAACGCATTTATTGACGCGTGTGCTGTCTCTCATCCATACACAAGCTCTGGCTTGACATTACTGTTCAGAACTTGAATGTTGTTCTTTATTCTGAATTGAGTATTTTTCCATTCCACCTCAACCAAAAATATCATTTTGTCGAGCCTTCCGTTGTAAATCACGTGATATGTTCGATCATCATCGGGCTGTTGAATTAGGGTGGTAAATTTCTTCATGGTTCACTTCGTAGCGTTTGATCAGTTTCTAAATAATTTCATGGTCAGCGATGTCAGTGGCTCTTTCATAGTCGATGAAGTCAAAATATGGTTGTGACTACCTTTCCATTACATTTTTGATGATTCGTAGTGTTGCAATTCGGTCTGCATACTATATGCGTTCTCTAAAACCAGCTTGTTATGATAGGAGTTAGCATTCAGGTCACCTTTTAGTCTTTCCAGGATGACGTGACTTAATATTTCGCTTGCAGCGGAGCAACTTAAAGACTGAAAAGTTACCACGGAGTCCACAGGTGTTGTTGTCATTCCAGGCGGAAAGATCAAGTCCTCTGAGCGCCTCGGAAAAAGCTCTCATTATACTTAACATATGATTGGTCACCTTTGCCAGCTGTGAGACGATGTTGCTGTACTGCAGTACACTACCTCGGATTTTAAAGATAGAATGCATGTCTATAACGTCATTTTTTAGGATAGAACACCCGCCTTATATACTGGCTTCTGACATATTTCAGCTCGGAATCAAAAGACTCATGCGCTATTCGTTAACCTATGTCGTCTTTGGTGTATAAGTTATATCTGGATGTTGATCAAGTGGACTGTACGCAGTTAAGTAGTTCGCCGTGTCCTTTTTAATGCTCTTAGATGTGGTAGTTGAAAATGGGCATCCTAAGAGGCTAACTGCCCTTGACCAGAGATAGAACCAATCAATTTTCCGTGTTAAGTGTAGCAATATATTGAGTAATCCCGAGGTCCGAGATGGAGTGTTAGGTGAGGACAGCAAGTAAGTCAATAGGGTAGTGAATTTACATCGATTGCGATGATTAAGAAGCGTGTTGCGCATATTGAATCACCGCTTCCCATGGTGAGCGATATTAGGTGACATAAGTTTCGGCTAGAAGTGTTAATCGTATTCAAATGAAAGCCTGTCATCAATCCATGAAGTCTCTGACTGATGACCTGAGCCACTAAGAGAGGGTCGGATAGCTTGACTGAGGTCTTCGAGATGCTTAGATCTCTAGTAAGGCAGTTACAAAGGCAGCTTGGTCTACTTCGAGTTCGCTTATGGTCGGCTTCAACTAGGGGCAAAGTTCGAGACGGCTGTGTGGCAATCTATACTTCCACGCTTGAGCTGTGGCCTCACTGCCTGCTGACTCTAAGATGACCCACCTAAACTGGTAGCCTAGCTGTTCGAAACACACCTCAAGCTAGTGGAGAGATATAATGCGGCTGCTAAAGTTTGTATCTTTCACGAAGATACAAAGAGTGTGTGAAGATACACAATCACATCACGACGCAGCCACCAAGCTCTTATCCCTTCAAAATCTCATTGCCTATCATGTTTTTTCAATGTACACCTGTGAACAAATTGATCATCTCATGTGAAACGTCCTGAATCCAGCTGGATTGACCAAACCGTCTGATTATTTTCAGATCCTCTAGCTGAAGACTGCTGATGTTACAGTTCGAAATCGTTTTCAGTGGCTTAGATACATTTGCTCTTTGTAATCTTGCATATCAATTCAACTGCCATTGTCCTCCATATATTTATTCCTTCTCATCTTTATCTCCATTCATTACAGTTTCTTCACGCTTCTGCTTTCCCTCTGTTTTTGTGTGCTTTATTAAGTGGTGAAGCTCGAACTGTGGCACTTGTGCAGCGTCAATCGTCTGTTTTACACAAAAATTTTACGCATCACATGCTTTTAGGTCTCAACTCATGAATAAGGTATTGAACTATAGTTGCTTTTAGTGATTTCGGCCATTGAGCGAGGAATCAGATCTACTTTGCCGGTGCCGAATAGTGGTGGCGAAGTCTCCTGTCCAATAATTGTGACAATATTTTCAGATACTAATTGTTCGACGTTTCCAACGTAAATTCATTGTTGTGAATGCTTTTAAATGCTCTCGAAAATCTCTGTGGTGTTTGTAAATTTAGGGTTCAGACTCTTTTACGTCGTCCAGAAATGTATGCATTATGTAAGCTATTTTCAGGCAGAAAATACGGCCTCATCAAAGCACTGATTTAGCACCGTTTGCTAACCTCGGATACAAGCCATATTGGGTGAGGATATAGGCCATAACCAACTGTTGTCGCGCAATTTATGGGTTACCGCGCTCACGCCTTTAGGCGTTATAATCGCTTATTTTTGTGAAAATATATTATATTTGACTAGTTTTAGACTTCTGTAGCCAAAAGGTAGTATTTTGTTCGAAGTAAAGCGTAAAATTGTCTTTATAGCCCGGACTAATTATTAATAAAAAGGTCATCCATTTTAAGAAAGTTCGCATAGAAAGACTTATTCGCGTTACAGTGCGTTGAGGGTTTGTTTTCATGCGAGTTGTTTCAGATCTTAAGGTTGTGAATAGACTACAGGCAATGGATGTTGTCACTCCAGTTACTCTATGAGAATCGGGCATATGAAAGAGAAATAGCCTGCAGACATAAGTTAGATGTGTGTTTTGAGGATGTTAAACACTTCTGTTATCATCAGTGATGACTGAAATATTCCATAACACATCGACGACATCATGCGATGAATGAGACAGGCTGCTGAATTTCCTGGTGATTATATACATTTGATGAAGTTCCTAGTTAAAATTGCTTAGGCGAAGATGTGATACTAGTTTAATTTACATTTGCACATGGAATTCCAGAAGACTTTAATTGCTGAGTGCATAAAATGGCATCAGATTATGTTGATATTCAGCGTTCATCGCGTCCCGAAGAATAGTATAAATGGTCCCTCTAAAATGTCAGAGTACTTAAAATTAGTATCAGCTTTTTGTCGATTAGTAGCTAGCAGCTGTGTCATACAACTACTACACCTGTTACATAAGTTATATCAGTCTTAATAATTATTTGGTTTCAGATAACTAAGATATTCTGAGATCCTTAATGACTTACTTGGGCTACGAAGGATATGGAAGATGCACTAATGGCTCATACCTTCAAAGCAGTTATTATTAAACAAGTTATGTACGTATTATTTATTCACCACAACGCAAAACCACGCGAAATGAAGACGGACAATTGCAACATTTAGACCTTAAATATTCATCAAATCATAGTATACTTCTTCTTACGACTTGTTTTTCAATTTAAACCCAGCTCTTCTACGATTCACTCCAAAAGTGCATTTAAAACCAACGTAAGCGTAGTTAAATCTGTCATCCGTTATTGTTTTGCTATAAATATGAACATAGTGAGTGCACGACAACTACATTGTTAGTAATAAATGACTTCCTCACTTTTTGAAATTCTATTAATAACTTCTCAAATTCATCCCAGCTGAAGAAACGCCTTCCGAGTATTAATTCACCAAAAATTCCACTTAAGTCTGCGCTCCTTTCACTCGAATTGACTACCTGCAACGAACTAAAATGGATTTGTCAATTAGTATCCATCTATGTCACAACTATTCCAAGATAATTCGTAAAAAGCAACATTGAAACACATGAATTATCAATAACCATCAAGAAAATACCGCACGTATAACCTAAATTATAGAAAACACAACAACCCACCGGTTCGTTGACATCGCAAGCAACCGATAGGCCAGACAACGGAGTGTATGACAAACCAAGCCTGATACATGCGCAAATAAAGAAAAACAAAGCGTTAGAATAGTCAAAATTTACATTTATACTCATCACATTTGCTGGCAAACGACGCAAACACAACCTCACAAAACAGCATTCGTTAACCCCTACCCGGGGGCAGCCTGTAGACGGCCGTAATTTTGAGTGACCGCGAATGAGATAAACAAGCGATTCGCTCGCTCGTGATTGGCCAGTTTCTCATTCGAGTTGAGGTAATTTCAAACATCATTTTGCTGCTTGGTTAAGTACTGAATTTCCGGGATCGTTTTATCAAATTTGAGAGATAACTGACAACACAAACTATTACAGCTCAGGAGGGAAATGAAATACCGGTGGATTTATTTGCTGAATTCAACGAATTCATGCCAAATTAAGATCTAAGGACTTCTTAGGGGTGTGAAGAATGCAAACAATGTTCTGAAGAGGTAATAACTTCACGCAACTTCAATTATCGCTTGACCATTATTTTCAGAAATCCTTAAATAAGTATAATATACACAGTGGTCTGGCTAATCATGATAAAAACGGCATGGTTGATGCAGCATATACGTATACTTTTGTATATGTAGGTAAACCTAGATAAACTCTGTTCTTGTAACGAAGATGGGAAAGCAGGTATCAGATGTCTCAGTAAGCAGTGTAATACATGTAAGCTACATGTTTTTATTTGACACAAGCTGGATCTTCACTCACTTTCAGAATTAATCTTGAATTCAGTTGGAATAAGCTTGTTGAGCACATCAGTATTGAGAGAATACAGTGAAAGTAAGTAAACACATGCTTCTTAAGATTAAGTGATACATTTATTTGACATGATTGTATAATTATTAGTTGTCTGTCTAAGTTAATGATGAATTCGTTGCAATGATAATACCTATTATTGTTTTTATAGTCACAATGAACATGAATGTCATTATTATTGCCGTCAAGAGCTATTATTTGTCATAAAGTGGTTGTCACTTCTGCTAAAATATTTGTACAAACTTTGAAAACTACTGTATAACTTATTGTTAGATAATTTTATCATTTCATGATGCTTCACTGGACCTACTGGATATCGACCAGCGATAGGTTGCGAAGTCCCTTAAGTTAAGTGAAAACTATTGTGCTACTTATATGTACTATATATATATATATATTGTTTGTGAAGTGACTACTTGTAAATGCTTATCAGGAAAATTTTTTTATTCAGATCATGCATGTAATACCCAAGTTAATTATGCTTTTCTTAAACCTTTTCAGACTTATGGAAAAACATATATGTGCCGTGTTCTCAGATGGAACTTACTGACGGTAACAAAGGACTACTCATCTGAATTATCTGTACATTAGAAATCTGATTTTTGTTTAATAAACAATTTTTCAATGAATCTGTGTTCCTTCTGTTGTAATGCGATTGTGTTCCAGTAACATAAGTAACTCGTGCTAAGTTAGGAGTTGAGGGTAAACTGTTAGGAGTAAATGCGGTGTCTGGAAAACTTTTGTTTACGTGATTATATGAGCAGATAGCAACGTATCGTGTTCCGCGGCTGAGAAACCTAGGCATTCTGCTTTTAATTACTACGATAACCGCAGTTGCACTGAGTTATACATCTGACAGCATAGGTATAGTCTCTCCCCATGGTACATTACGGCATGGAGAAATCACAATCATACTATCTCAGGTAGATTTATTTTCACTTTGTGACTATTAATCGCGAATCAGTATATGTATTCTGCCAAGACAATAGATAACTCGAAACGCTCTATAATCGCAATACCTTCTCTACGATTTAGGCATATTTACTTTATTTGACTACAGCATAATGTTTTACCAATAGGCTTTTCCAAATATCTGCTCCTACTTAGTATTTCAAAGATAGCCTCATATACTCTATACCCCACATATTACGCAAGGGCTAATATTCGGTCTTATCAAGTAGAATAAACAAAAGATTAACGAGGAATACATTCATTAGTGAATTAACATGTAATACAAAATCGACAACAGTACAGGTATCTTTTTCTTTATCAACGAAATCCATGAAATTCCCGAAAGTAGATATTATCTGAAAAAGGACATAAGATATATACAGATATAGACATTATTATCAGTGTTAACACAATAACTAACCATTAAATATGTTTAAAATGACGAAATAATTACTTGAATTGTATATAATTATGTAAGTCAACAGTTTTCAATAATATAAAATCCATATTGCATCTGCCTGCAAACATCAAGTTTATGCCATAAAAAAAGGAATTACTTTGCGTATATAATTTCTAAGTATTTCTGCAGATTTTTCCTAAAGAAATACATATGGAGTAGCTTTGTCAGCATTACGAAAATTACACAAGGAAGTAAATGATGTAATTACCGAAACGAGCTATCCCACCTCGTCATGTCCACGTGTAATCCATTAAAATGCAAAGAAAATTCACGAAAAGATCATTATAACATGTTTCTTCAAGTAATTCGACGTATTTTGAACGGAAAAGTACGTTTTTCCAAAAAACTGCAAACTGCCTGTAAGCTACGGCCGGATAAGGACACCACCATTGCCTATTTCTGCTAAATACGCCGTATTTCATCAACTTTTAACTGGAATATATGTAAAAAAGTGTGTAAAACAACGAAAAATGACCTAACCTTGACGTCATTTCCAAAAATAACGCCAATATTCATCAGCTGATCAAATGACCTACGGCCGTCTACAGGCTGCCCTACCCGGGACAAATCAAATATCTAATTGACCGCCACTTTTCTAGCCAATGAAAGACGAGAAAACCTGAGCCGCGGAAAAAATATAACAGGTTGTAGCCTATATCCTCACCCATGACAGCAGTGCTGTTTTATTGATTGAAATCCATCACGGACATTTTGTTTGACTGATTATTCCTCTCTTAGTGAGGCACTTGAATGGGTGGTTGTGGGCTCAGAATATGCTGTCCTTGCTTCCCTGAGTAAGTGACGATAGAAGCCAATAATAGAACACTATTTTGGTTCATTGCACACAACGGATGACTGTCTGACAGTGCTTTGCTTCTTTTCATGGTTTGCATTTGTTGAAGAATCGGTAAACTTCGCCAATATTCAGAAACCGGGGTGTCAAATATATTCACATCACGGCAATACCAAATGCAACAACTGGTGGATATTAATTTCAGGCACTACTATTTTGTTGGGTAGCAGGTGTATTGCATATATTATCATCCTCCGCTTTCGCTAGCGTGCTACCATGGTTTTCTTTCTGTCGTTACTCCATTAAGCTTTAGCTTCCCTGGTTTGTGTGATTCACTGTAGTTCTTGGAAAGTAGAGGGGATTATTCCTCACATTTCATGCCTATCAGGGTTTAAAATGTTCGGGCAATCAGCCATCTCTGCGCATGTAAATAATACGTCCATTATATGTCGGCAACCTGTTATTGGGGCGAAAAATTGTATGTAGAGAAGTAAACACTTGTTTAACAACGTGCGACTAACTGACGAAAAGCCAGCTGTGGAAGATATCTTGGTGGCAGACAGATGAAAATCTTCATAGATGAATAATAATGGGTAGTAGGTGTGGCGTCAGTATTTGAAAGATAGAAAAAGAGTCATCTCTGTGCATGATACTCGGAGCGAACTGCTAGGTGTCTAATAGGGATATTTCAGTTAACTTCTTACTATGTGGTACACACTGGAAACAGCAGGTTTTTTCACAACCTGAAAATAATAATACTCACGATGAGAGCCATCAGCCATCCAGGTTAAAATATTATCTCACTGAGTAGTTCCTGACGTGTCGAAGAGCGTCTTTACTCCATCAATTTACTCTACTTTACCGACGCATTATTACTAACAGACAGTGACAAGAGACTACTGTTTCCCTGAGGTGATAATAAGTGCTCTGTATAGCGACAGGGTGCTGCCTTGAGTTACGCCAGAAAAGTCAAACACTGGCATGAAAATGATAATCCAAAATCCACCTTAAGTAAAACCTGGCAGATGATCTTAGAAGTAGTTTCTAGCCTTGATGTGGAGTGTTCTCCTCTGGAATAACAGCTGGAAATCCTCACGTTGAAACTGAAATCTGCAGAGCTATAAACAGAGGAAATAGTCCAGGTCCGATGCCTTAGATATCTGTAACTGTTCGACAAATAAGAGGAACTTTTAGGAAATAACTGGATTCCTATTTGTCACTCAGGAAGATGTTAGATGATTGCTCATGTTATTCCCTTCAAAATAAACAACAGAATTATGAAAGGACTAGCACCATTCTTATAATGTGGGCCGATAAACATGCTGGATATTTGAAGCCCTAAACACCTACTCTGAAAATTATAAAGTGAGTATAACACGTGGCAATGAAGGTTCTGTATGTGTTAAAATGGCATAATTCAGTCGATTATCACCGAAATATTTTCTCTTTTCACTTTTACAACTCACTTTTATAAACGATTTAGCGAATAATATAGGAATCTTCTGCACTGATAACGTAAATTCATTCAGATAGTCAGGAAATCAGAGATAGATCCTTAGGCCTTAAAAAGCTCAACAAACTTAGGAAACTGGGCCGTATTACATAAACCAGCAGTCAGCTTAAGTGAATATCACCACATATTCCTCCGAATAACAATAGTACAAGTAATTACCCATCGTCAACGCTACATTTCTCTCTTCCGCAAAAAGATATTTAGTAACTTTAAACTGAGGCTGATGGAAACGTAGCAGTAAACACCAATTTAGGGTGAGATGAAGGCATACGTACAGCTGAAGAAAAAATCGTTGGGACTTTAAAATAACACAAGAATCACCTAACAAGCCAGACCACCCAAATGATGATATTCTACCGTCTTCGGTTTATTCTCTTTATTTTCTCCCTGTTCACCAAATTTTTAGTTTCTAACGTACTTGCAGAATTGTGTCGCTTACTACATTCAGCACAGTGACAGAAGGCGGGAAGATAGTTTCCCTGCATTCAACAAACGGTTAAGATTAATTCCACAACTTTGAGAACCGGGGACCACAATTTCAACAGAGTCCCCTATTTCGTGAGAGGCATATTGGATATTGTTCATTGGGAAGCGGTAAAGGAGATTAAACGCACAGCAAACTCGGACATCGTCTCTCTAGCCACAACGAAGCTAAAGAAAAGGTTCTTCATATATGGAGATAGGTACGCAACGTGTTCTGCAAGCAAAGCTGAAGGCTTGGCCAAAGTGGCGAATATGCTCACTTGAATCTCAGGAACCAGTGCAACACACGAGTCGGGAGTGACAGAAGGTCATTTCAGGCTAAAACTGCCAAAAACTGGTGAACCCCCGAAGCTTGTATCGATTCATGTTGGAAAGAAATCCAACCAAGCAGATGGCGTGTGTCTTAATAGGTTCAAGCGGTCAATACCTCACTAGTCTGGAGATGGCTGAAACATTTAGTTTAGCCTTCGCCAAACAGTTAAACGGCAACGTGGGTTATGCCTGGCACGGGCCAAAGTGGTAGCACTACTATTTCACCGAA